ACTTAACAAACAAACAAACAAAAATCAAACGAGACTGTTATTCTAGGAAACAACGTAGCATACTTGCTTGGAAACAACCAATATTATTGTAGTGCATGGTTTCCTTTGGCAGGTAGGAGAGCCTTTGCTACCATGCAGTTGACAGCACTAACCCTGGTGGTCAAGCTCAGAGACCTCCAAAACAGAAGGTAGTTCTTCAGCATTACCTGCAATGGGCCAACCTCCCAAACTCTGGGCTAGCACCATCCATATGCCCTGAAAACTGATGATGATGATGAAAAGCGGAGGAACGTTTTCAACAATGAAAAAAAAAATTCCCCTAAGTTTTGGCTTTAAAAAAAAATCCTAATTTTAGTACATTAGTACATTCTCTTTGTGTTTGGAATAAGCCCAGATTTCCTTTAAAATTGGAAGAAGAAGCCCAAATGCCATTTAGATGAATAATCTTCTGTTTGACTGAGCATGTACAAAATGTCCCCTACCCCCAGTAAATCAGCTTTCCAGATCTTTCCTGGGCCATGGGTGGACACCTGATCCTAGCACAAGAGATGCTTTGGCCTCTATTGTCCAGTTTCTTTGACAGAGCAATGAATGCAGGTTCCTACTGCCTGGATCGTCTCACACAAGAGAAACTTGAACATGGCTCTGTCCACCAGCCTGCTACTTTGGCACACCCTGTGAACCAGAGGTGCCAGCAGTGACATTTCTATTCAGGATGTAGCTTGCTCCTTGTGGACCTAACCCTGGGCAATGTCTTGGCATCCTTGAGCTGAGACTGAGTCTTATTTCCAAGCTTTCTTGGCACTACACTGTACATTCTTGGTTGGTACACAGTTCCATGCCCCAGGGACACTGGCAGAGGCCTCTACTTTGGAAAGCTGAAGTACATTCTAGAAGCTTCTCTGAGTCTACCTCTCCATTTCTCTTCCTATAATTAGCATTGACTCTGAAAGCCATGTTCTAAAACAGATAGCTCTTATAATGATTCAAACACTACAAGTTGAAAATGAGGGGCATAGAAGCCACTCAGCTGACCTTCAGTGTCAAACAAGGGTCCTGGATGTGAGTCACAAGCCTTCTGTCCCTTTGTCCTTGTCCTGCTTAGTTCAACTCAGTATGGAAGCTCAAACACTCTTTCTCCCAGCCCTGATGCAAAGCAAAACCACTGATATCTCATCCCTGTTCCTGGATATACACCAGAACTACTTAAACATGTTTCTTTAAAATGCAAAGACTCAGGGTGGAGAGATGGCTTAGTGACTAAGAGCACCAGCTGCTATTCCAGAGGACAGAGCTACATATGGTAGCTCACAACTGTCTGTACTGCCTGTTCCTGGAGATCCAACACTCTCACACAGACATGCTTGCAGACAAAACACCAATGCACATAAAATAAAAATAAATAAATTACTTTAAAAAATGCAAAGACCCATGGCACCATTTTGAATCACTCTCAGGGATTCAAAGTTGGTATAGGGTAGAAACACATACACACACACACAACACACAGGCATGCACGCACGCACGCACACACGCACACAAAACCAATCTGCCCTGTGGTTCCGATACAGCCAGTTTAGAACCTTTCTAAGACATAGCATTAAGGAAGCCACTTTTCTAGATTAGTACGGTGTTCCTGTAGGCACTAAAGTGGTCAAATACTTTCAGCTGATTGAGAGGCAGAAGGAGTCATTGTTTTCCTAGGAGGACTGAAAAGCATGGTAGAAGCAGTACACACCAAAGAGACAGAGAACTGTCTTTTAGTTCCGCTAGATTTAATGAAAGTACAGACTTCTTCCAGGCTCCAGCACCCTGGGAGAACCATTCCACTATTGAGCTCAGAGGCTCCAACCATCAAAGTAGGCCAACATTTTTAGCCTGCCAAAATGGCAAAGGATGCAACAATTTTAAAGCCCTTGATGTGGGGGGGGGGGATCTCCTATGTTCCTTGAAAGGAAAATGACAGACAACTCCAAAAGTGAAAGTTTTTTAAATCCCCATCCAGTCCAGCCTTCTTGTTGCAATCAGCATATCTATCTCAAAGCAGAACTTGCTGAAGGAGCCTGCAGGCTGACCCCCCACACACACACGTGGGATGTGGCGTTCCCACCGCCAGCTAGCTGAGAGTCGAAGCTATGTCTTGTTGGAGCCCAATATCTAAGGCAATAGGCTTCAGAAACTCCCCTCTGGTGATATTTCCCATTCTTTCTCTTCAAACTCTCCCCTCTACCTAGCCCCGTGTTCAGAGGTAGCAAATGACAGCCTTTGGGCAAACGCTGAACTCACACTTGTGCCAGGAACTAATACTTTATTGGAGGACAGTTATACTGGTTTGTTTATTCATCATCTGTGAGAGCTTTGTGCCATAGTCAGAGCTGAGCAATTTTGACAGAGACCCCCTGAGGCTAGTAAAGCCTGAAATATTTACTATCTTGCCTTTTATGAAAAGTTTTGTGATTCTGGCCAGAGATGCTTATAGATATTTTTGCCATGATCTACAGTAAGTGCATTTTACCAGGAAAACTACTACACACATATGTGGGCATGTGTTTACTTCCATATACACAGGAGTTTTGGTAAGCAACATCTGAACTGCAATGCCCTCCCACAGCTCCTATTCCTTAAAGCAACTGATATTATCATATTAATCTCATGATCCATATTTGAAAAATACCACTCCAGAAAAAGTAAGCCATTGACTACCTAAAACACAAGTCCCTGCCCTTCACCTCCATTGGCTTTCTGACACTATCCCTTCTGGCACACATGTTCTAGTCCCAGTGCATTTTCCCCTCATCTCCTAAAGTACATTCTCTATGCCTCATTGTGGTTCTTCCAAGTTTCTGTTTTGTAGATACATTATTCTTACCACTTTGTATTCAACAAATTACCCAATGTCATAATCCATCACTGAGGGAATCAGGGCAGACACTCAGGGCAGGAACAGGGAGGCAGGAATGAAATGGAGGCTGTAGAGGAAAGCTGATTACTAACTTAGTGTTCATGGCCTGCTCAGCTTGTGTTCTGCAAACCACTTGCCCAGGGAAACACTGCCTACAGTGGTCTGGGCCTTCCAGCATCAGTCATTACTTAAGAAAATGCTCCCACAGATTTGCCTACAAACAAAACATCTGACAACAACAGAATTCCTTCAATAGACTTATCAGTACATTGAAAACTAAGGAAAGAATAGATAAATAGAAAGATAAGTTGTGCTGACACAAGCTAGAGTTTTTTGGGGGGAGGGAGAAATATCTTCATCAAATTGCCTGCAAACAAGTGTGTGGGCATTTTCTTGATTTAATGATTGACATAAGAGGGTCCAACCAACAAGGGGTGGTATCACTCCTGGGAAGGGGGTCATAGGCTGTTAAAAAAGTAGGTTGGGCAAGCTATGGGGAGCAAGTTAGTAAGCAGCATTCCTCAACTTCTACTGTAGTTCCTGCCTCCAGCTTCCTGCCTTGAGTGCCTGCTTGACTTCATTCATGAAGTACTATAAGCTGTAAGATGAAATAAACTTCTCTCCCCAATTGCTTTTTGTCATGGTCTTTATCAAAGTGACAGAAACCAAACACATATGTCAATGAGGATCATCTAAACTTAAGCGCGCACACACACACACACACACACACACAAGAATAAACCAAATTCAAGTCAACATCTTTGGTCATGGGTGATCTAACATATAATGTAACTAGAGTCTCATAAGAAAGAGGAAATATGAAAGATAAATGTTTGAAAAAGTTGTGACTATTTTCCAAAGTTAACAACAAATATAGACCCAGAAACATCACACACACACACACACACACACACACACACACACACACACACACACACCTAGACATATCAAATTGAAAGCAGCCAGAGGATATATGACTTGGAGAAGGCACTTTATATAGAAGAATAAAGATACAAATTATAACAGAATTCATGGAAATATGCAAAGCAGTGCAGTGACATCTTTAAGTTATTAAAAAGTGATTTTAAACATTTTAACTGTGACAGTGGTGCCTTGGTTATTTGCTTTTCCCAACATGGCTTTATATTTAAATTCCCACTGAAATATTTATGAATAACAAGATGAGCTTTGGGACAGGAGGTTGCTTCACAACAACCAGGAAAGGTAACTTTCTTTGTGGAGAGAGCAGAGAAAGCCATGTTGATGATAATTTATTAAAGAGAGAGGGGGAAATTGTAGCACCTGCCAAACATTCAGGAGATAAGGACAGGAAGATGGAAAGTTCAAGTCTGAGGCCAGTCTGAGCTATATAGTGAACTCTAGACTAGCCTCGGATACATAGAAAGATCTTGTCTTAAAAAAAAACAACAACAACATGCAACATAGTGAAGCACCCCCACAGTCTACTCTGGAGTTCAAGATCTCACGTTCAAAGCTAGTTTGCATAGTGAGGCCCTAACTCTAAACTTAAAAGACCTGAAGATGTAATTTAGCAGCAGAGCACTCATCTAGCAAATGAAAATAAAATTACTATCAAATAATGATTTAAAAAAAAAAAAAAAAAAAGACTGACCATAGTCAGGCAGTGGTGGCACACAACTTTAATCCCAGCATCTGGGAGGCAGAAACAGGCAGATCTCTGAGAGTTCAAGGCCAGCCAGGTCTACAGAGCTAATTCTTAGACAGCCAGGGCTACACAAAGAAACTATCTCAAAAACAGATGACTAAGAGACTGGAAATTGAGTGGTACAATTAATATGATATACTGTCTACACTTAACATTTTTCAATTCTCATAACAGAATTTCTTTTATAAAGGAAGGAACTGCTTTAGAGATATCCAAAAGAGGTGAATGCGTTCATGACATCCTAATGGATTTCTCTGATTTTTTTTTTTTTTTTTTTTTTTTTTTTTTTTTTTTTGCCTCTAAGTAATTCTTCCTCCAGCCTTTGATGCACAGAAAGATATACAAGTCTTCAATGGATTTGAAGAAGTGCAGCCAGTAACCTGCAGGCAGTAACATCAGCCCAGTGCCTACCAGTGCCAAAGCTCTCTTCTCCACATAGAGAACATCGTCCGGAATCCATCAGATTTGAGAAGAATCTCCATCCAGCAGGGGTCTCATACACAGGGACCTTCATTGATTTAGCCACTCTGAAAAATGAAATTTGAGGCAACCATCAATTCACATGCCTAATTTCCTTTATTTTCTCAATTCAGTAGGAAGTCTTATGATCTATTTGGTCCATAAGTACATTTCAGAACAACTTGAATAGTTGTTCACAGCTAATTTTGAAGCTGTGAGTTACAGAGTAAGTAGCATCCTTCAATGCTCTGAACTCTGCTTCCTCTATAATACAATATATACTAAGTCAATGCATGAATGATTCTAATATCAGTGTTCCTATAAATTTGGTAATATCTAGGAATGCTGATGGCTTCCAGCTAACAAATATACTTTTCTTTCATAAAAGATGTCTCACTCCGGCTGAAGAGATGGCTTAGTGGTTAAGAGTGGCTGCTCTAATAGAGGTCCTAAATTCAATTCCCAGAAACTACACAGTGGCTCACAGCCATCTATAATGGGATCTGATGCCCTCTTCTGAAACAGAGACATATGTATGGACAGAGCACTCATACCTAAAAAGATACATAAATAAATAATTTTAAAAAAGATGTTACACTCAAAGTCAGAAAGCCACCACTCGGTCAACCTGATTAGTGACTGATCCATGTAGACTAGTCAAAAATCTGTCATTTGTCCTCATTTTGGTACAACTTTGTGAATCTATTTCAATTCCAGGGCTCCTTGTGTGTTGGCTGAAGCCTTTGCTGTGTCTTCAGTAGTTAGGTGTCTATCTGTCTGGTCATATTCACTGTCCCTTTCCTATAATTTGGATATGACATGTTCCCTAAATGCCCATATATTAGGACTTGGTCCTCAGCTCAGCACTATTAAAAATTATGAAATGTTTGGGATCTTTGGGAGCATGACCTCCAAAGGGCTTTCTTTCTTTCTTTCTTCCTTTCTTCCTTCCTTTCTTTCTTCCTTCCTTCCTTCCTTTTTCTTTTACTTCTCATGAAGTAATCAGTTTCCTGAACCATGTGCTCCCACTAATGTAGGCTGCATCATGGTAGTCACAAAGGAAACATGGTCCAGTGATAGTGGAATGAAACCTCTAAAACCAGAACAAACATCTCTTCTTTTTACATTGACTGTCACAGGCATTTTGTTACAGGAACAGAAACCTGACTACTAAGTGTTGATCATAGAGGCAACTTACATCTTTAAGGTAGAAAAGAATAAACTCTCTACAGGCAAATTTCTCTTAAAGCCATTTCCTGGAGCCCCAGTGTGTGATGTGACTCAACGAAGTTGAAATTTGACAAGACCGATCGATCACTATTTATAATAACTGAGACAACATAAAATACATGTCCTAGGAGAATGGACAAATAACTTATGATATTGAGGTGGTTAATCTTAATTGTCTACTTAATTTGATTAAGAGACATCTAGAAGATTAATGAAGCGTGCCTTTGGGTAGGTTGTGGGGGTGTTTCCAAAGATAACGATGTCATAGGGTTGTGACCTAATGGTTCAATGCACTGATGGGAGTCACATTACAGTAGACTGCTCAGAGGGAGCACAACTGTGGGATATCAATCCTAGCTGGAGGAAGTAGGTGCCCTTGAGGACCATATCATCAGTCTGCTTCCTGGCCACCTTGTGTGGTGAGCAGCCACTGCCATATATTCCTGAAACCATGATACTCTTCCGCATCTCAGGCATATAACAATGGCTCTAGGTAACTCAAACCAAAACTTGAAGCTTTGACCTAAAATCAGTATTTCCTTAGTTCAAATTACTTTCTCTGGCATTTTGTCATGGTAATGAAAAGCTTACTAATGTGGATATATAGATGCCATTCATTAGGCACCAGCCTGAATGAATGAAAGCCCAACCAAAGGAATGTGTGCAATACTGTTTTGTAATACTTAGCTACTTATATGTTCATTCAGCTCAAAGGTTCTAGCTCATCCCCTTCTCCACAGCAATTGCACTTATGTCCTGGGAGGAACAATGGAACAGCCTCTCCACAAACCTTAGAACAAAGGAGGATGTTCAGAGCTGCTGACTTCATCAAGAACTCGAAGAAGGAAGAAGAAATCACACAGAAACAAATGGAGCACACAGGAAAATGTGGGTCATAGTTAACGTAACAAATGTAAACTCGCAAGAGTGCCAAATAGAATGTAACACGGGGAGAAGGGGGTGGGGTGGGGGACAGGCGTGAGGACACCTGGTCTTTGTCCAAAATATTCTTGTGGGTTCAAAGCCAAGTTGGCAGGACTGAAGGGAGGGGAAAGGATTTCCCCAGGTCCCACCCTTCCCAATCCATCACTGTCAGGAGGGCACCAGGCTGGATTGTAAAGAACCAGATACTTGTGGAACTATGAGACATAGTTGCAGCTATGCAAGCTGAGATAAGATGGGTAATTAAATTCCAGGACCCTGAGTGTAAACTGATTGTGCCCTGGGGTCAGAAAGGAATTCCCGTCCCTACCCTGAACTTGGGACTTGTCCCAAGCACAGCACTCAGCAGACACTCTGGGTTAGACCTCCTGTTGGCAAGAAGCCCCTGGTGTCCACAACCCCTGAATACAAAAGCTGAAAGTGAAACAGTTCACACAGCCTTTCCCCAAGCAAGTCAGGAGCAAATGGAAAGCCCTGCCAAGGAAGGGGAGCATAGGGAGACTGTGGAGGCTGCACCCTCCTGCCAGGGGGAATGAGCCCTGCTGGTGGCTAACAGAATAGGCTGCAGTAAGTTATCTCTTCAGCCAGGGTTTTCAGACCTTCTCAAAAGTGATGTCTTAGCCTCACTCTGCAACAGCTTCCCCTACTCCTCCTGGTATTCTGTGCTCCTAAAATCTTCTCTATTTCCCAAATCAGATGTTCCTGCCTGCCTTCTGATGCTGCTGGGTAGTGCTAGTCCTTCTATGCCATTCATTTAACTCAGATCAACCATCGGTTTGACAAACCTATCTTGAATGATCTGCCATCTGAAAGTCTGCCTAGATACATTTTGTCCTGCTAAAAACAAAATGCCTGAGACTGATTTATAGAGAACAGAAAGTTATTTCTCATAGTCCTGGAGGGATGCCCAAGAGTACAGTGCCCATATTTGGCCCGGTGAGGAATTTGCTATGTCCTCACAAAGCAAAATACGGAAAGTAACTTGCTACCTGCTCCATGTAACATCGTCCTTGAGGGCTGTAATTCCAGTAACAAGGAAGGAACCCTGCTGGCCTCATTGTCTCTTCAAAGCCCCCTCCCCATTTTGATTCTTTCAACACCTAGGCTCTGGAGGGGATTAACTTTCAACATAAATTCTGCAAGGGATCAAAGTTTCTCTGGCACTCCCAGTTGATTGTATAACCCTACAACAACAAAGTTGTAACAGATTTAAAGATGACAAGATCTGGGTTCCTTTGCATATATCCAAATGTCACCTTTGTTAAGCACCAAGCCATATTCTGGGTTCTGAATTCTTTTTTTTTTTTTTTTCTTATTTTACATATTGATCCCAGTTCCCTCTCCCTTCCATCCTCCCATGCTCCCCCCCACCCCTCCCAACCTAGTTCCCATCCACTCCCCATGGAGGGTGAGGTCTTCCAGGAAGGATCATCAAAATCTATCAAGTCATTTGGGGTATAGGGCCTATGCCCTCCCTCGTGTCTTTAAGCTAAGGGAGTATCTGAATTCTTAACCTTCCTATAAAACCCTTCACCTTCACACTCTGGAAGAGATATATCTGTATTGCCCATATCCAACAAAGTCCTCAAGCACTCTCCATATTTTAAATTCCTATAATCATTTTTAAAAATTAAAAGTCCACAAAGAAACAAAATACAAAATGTAGGAGGTACACTTTATACAAGATGATATCCAATGGCCAATTAGCATATGAAAACTACCTGGAATTGCACACTAAAACCACAGGGAAGTGTCACTACCCACAATCCTAGAGGAAAAGAATGGCGTTACCAGTGCTGGAGAAGATATGGAATCTCACCATGGAGGCATGGAGGGATGCAGACTCACACTGACTACAGTATACTTGTTCAACACAGAACAGTGCCATACCATAGGATGACAAAACTGAGTAGGTCTCCACAGCGTAGAACCATGTAAGGTAAGCAGGGATTGGTAACATGGAGTAAAGAAGGCAGACAAATGGATACTGCAGCGTTCCACTTAGACACGGTGCAAACAAGGCAAAAGAAATCAGTGGTGGCAGCAATCAGGGTGCAGGGCGTCTGGGGATGGATGGTAAACAGTGACAAGGAAGTGTGGTTCTTCATTGCATGTGTTATGTGTATTATGGGGAAATTGCTTAGAATATGTACACTTGTTTACTGAGCCTTTTTTACACACACATTATACTTCAATTAAAAGTTTATTTTAGAGCTAGGCATGAAGACACAGTGCTCAGGAGGCTGAAGTAGAAAGACCAGGAATGTGGAGTCAGCCAGTCTGACTTCAAAGAATAAGATCTTATTGGGGGGTGGGGAGGAGGTCGGAGAGCGGGTGTAGGGGGGAAACCACAATTATTTAACTACTTTTAAAAGTTTATTTGCTTGAGAAATCCCTCTGGAGTATTTAAGATTAAATGCATGTTTGAATTAGCAACATTTTCGTACTCCTAGGAAACAGGCGAGCCCCCATCTGTTGCTAATGTCCAGCAGGCATGTAGCAGTCTTTGGGTTAGCTCTTCAGCATCCTTATGTGTTCGTGTTCACTCACAGAGCCCTTTGATGTCTGGCTGTGCTGTCTGCAGGTGTTCTCTAATAAAAGGCTTATATGAACTTGTACTTTAAAATCCCTTTTTAAAGGAAGCCTGCCCAGATCATAAATATGAATGAGACAGAGCTCATCCAAACCTGGTTTTCTAATAGCAGTCCCCCCTGACCTTTTCCCCTTTTCTCTTCCAGTGATAAAGCTTGAATTCCAGCACTGAGCTAATCTCTGAAGCCTTCTAACTGTAATCTTAAGTCTATTCTTAAGCCATTTTTGTTTTAATGGAATGACTTACACTCCCAGGTAAAATACACACAAACTACTGAGCAATTACACCAAGATGATTGCAAAA